GGGAGGGAGGGGAAAAATGAGGACCTAATGTCGGGGGTTTAAGTGGAGAGAAAATGTTTTGAGAATGATGTACAAATGCGCTTTACACACTGATGTGTGTATGGATTGTGATAACAGTTGTATGAGCCCCTAATAAAATGTTTAAAAATAAAAAAGAGTTATAAGCCTTGGTTAGCAATAAACGTCTCTCCTCTCTCTCTCCACGTGGACCACCAAGTGAGGCTGGGGTGAGCATGCTGCCATGATATGTGCCTGACTCCATTATTTCAGTCTCTCTTCTATCTTTTATGCTCTCTAGGACTTTACTACACTCTGTACTTATGGTCGCTGTACAATTGTGCCCACCGGACCTGTGATGATGTGTTAAGGGCTGGCTCCCCTGACAATATATCTTCCAAGGCTTCTTTGATTTTACTTAGCACACCGGAGGTTTATTTTTTATAGTTAGCACATTTCTACTTCCTTCAGATTCATTTACTTTGCCCACTATACATAGTGATTTGCTTATATTACTCTCAATTTTTAATGTACTTAAGAAGATAATCAAAAGGGTGGCTAGAAATGAATACAAAAGAAAACTACAGGAATATTACTGAAGAAAAATATGAAACCAGCTATGTGGACACTTCAAAAAAATCCATTATTTTCATTCCATTCTTCCCAAATACTTTTTGAAACTTCCTTGAAATCATTATAAAAATGTTAAAAAGGAAAGTAGGTCAGGACTGGGAAAAGGAGAAGAGCTGTCTCCTGGGCCATTCGCCAAAATACCCATTTTGGCAACTGCTGCTTTGGCTTCAGGAAAAGGCTGATGCACCATCTAAGTCTTCTGCCCACCCTGCTGGTGATCTGCGCCTTCATGCCCCAGAAGTGGTGCAAATATTATCGCGTGGTGGTGCTTGGCAATTCCGGCGTGGGAAAGAGCGTGCAAGTGCAGACATGGGTGCATAGCACCTTCTGCGACAACTTCCTGCCGACCATCAGACACCTACCACCAGGTGATGAACTGCAACAACTGCGTGGGTGCCCTGCACATCACCAACACCACTGGCAGCCACCTTTACCCTGGCCTGAAGCACCTGGCCATTGCCAAGGGCCACGCCTTCATCCTGGTCTACTCTGTTACCAAGAAGCAGACCTGAAGGAGCTGAAGGCCTCTATGAGCTGATCCTCGAGATCAAAGGTAACAACATGCAAAAGTCCCCGATCATGCTGGTGGGTGCCAAATGCGATGAGAGCCACCATGAGCTGACCATGGGATGAGAGATGGGACCATCTATGCGCTGGAGTAGAATTGCACCTTCGTGGAGACCTCTGCCAAGACCGACTTCAACATCAAGGAGCTGTTCTTAATGCTGCTGAACGAGGAAAACAAGCCTGCTGCCTGCCTACAGCTTCCCCAGAAGAAATCCCCCAAGGCCACCGAGAAGCTGCTGGGCAAATAATGCATTATCATGTAAAATCCCAATCTAAGGTGTCCAATCTGCCTCTTTACACCGTGCTGACAAGAACCAATCCCAGTGTAGCCTGTTACCCAACAGTATTGATTTTGTGCTGTGATTTGGATTGTAACAATTAGATGTCAATAAATGTTCCCTGTAAATTAATAATGTTTCTTTCTCCCATGTACAATAATCCAAATGGTTGAAACCTTGACACAGGAGCAAAAAAGAAGGAACCAGGTGCGTCGTAAGAATAAAGCACGGGCAGAGGGTCTCTAGAGAAATGTTTCCGACGGAAAAAGAAGATGGTGAAAGGAACTGAAAGATACCACATCCCTTCGTGCAATCCTATGATGTATTATGTTTAAACACTTCACATCCTATCAATCTAATTGTATTCTTTCCAACATGTACTTAATTGTTAAGAAATGTGTTTTCCCAACGAAATCTGTGACAAATTGCTGTGAAAGGGTATACTAAATAAGAAATCAATGACGATTCTATGGTTATCATGGGAGTGGGGACAGAGAACATTGTGCAAGTGCATTGTGCTTACCAAAGAGGTTATGATTGCCTTCTGAGTAATTTTGAAATGTTTGGATATCCTACATAGATGGTTTTTTTTAAAAAAAGTGTACCAATTCTGACTTAATAAAGCTATTCCTGCATGAAAAAAAAAGGGAAGGTAGGTCACGAGCACTCGCTTTAGAAAGACCACTGCAAATTTCCAGAAAAGGGATCAAATAAAGAAGAAGAAACATAAGAGGAAAAATAAGAGCAATGTTCATGAACCACTAAGTCGAGAAGGTATCTTAAGCAATACATCAGGCAGCAAAAGATAACTTTGGAATATCTATCTTACTCTACTAATAAGAAAAATACGTCCTCACAGAGAACACTTTAACTCTGCCCTCCAGGCTGGGCCCATCTCACAAGTGTGCTCAAATATGCTATATGCCCTGGCCTTGCAGAGAGTAACATCTCAGAACAAAATGAGGCCCAGCTCTTTGTTCACATCTCATGCGAACATGTCAGGAGCAAAGCACTGTTTTCATGTCTTCTGTAGGAAAGCACAGCTAATCCTTGCATGTCCACTTAAAAAGGTTCTTGAGTCATAAGCAGACAATGAAGTCACAATAGCCAGTCTGTGGGGTGATCAACTTGTCCCAGTTCAGTACTGAAAGTCCCATGTCCTTAAAAACCCCTTGGTTCAGGACAGGCTAAGATGGTTGCAGCACCCTCACAACCTCCTCACTGGCCAAAGGCCCTCAGCCTTCGCTTCTCAGCCCAGGCCCCTTTAGCTTGTGAACTCTATGGAATTGCCTTTCTAGAGCCAAAATTAGTGATGACACCACTGGCTAGCCGCTCCTCTCTGCCAGAGCTTGCTTTCAGATGTGCTCCTTTTAATATGATCAGTGAAGGAATTCAGTGTCAGAGGTTAATATTACCCCTCATTTGATAATATACCCTTGGCACATTGCTGATGATCAATAAACATTTCTAATATTCCTATCAACATGTAAGACAATCACTACCAGAGGGTTTGGCCGCTGGGATGTCTTGGTTGTCCCCTAAAAACTCAGTTATGAAACTCCGAACACAACTTTTAAAAAGAACTTTATCTTAAGTTGAATTAAAGTGTGGAAAGGTTGTGTTTCTGTTTTTAGCTAACCAAAGTAAAACTTCTGTAAGACTGGAAGAGGAAAACAAAAGGCAAAAAAATCTATGCTTATCCGGCCCTGCCAGGAATTCTCACAAACACTGCCTGACAGTGTCACTTCTGTTCACTGTCCTCTCCTGAGGTCTGAGGTGAGGACTGGCCACGCACTGGAAGCGGGGCGCACATGAAGATGGAGAGCTAGAAGCCAGATCTTGAATAGATCACAAGGCAGACTTCTCTCCAGTGCAGTGCCAGTTAGACATAGGGTGCTGGGCCAGGTGGCTTTCTCCTGAGAGTCAGGGGGAGAATTCCTGTGAGCCAGCAGGTGGGAAGTAGGGCGAGTTGGAGGATGGAGCCAGAGAGAGGGCGAGGCAAGGGCAGGGCACAGCGATCGGGTGGGAGATGAACCCTAAGCCAGCGGAACCTGACAGGTGTATCCGCGTAGCTGAAGCCAGTTCCCTTCCCTGGAAAATGAGAGTGCACACATCGTTTGGGGCGCTGTCTTTATCCCGATACTGTTCTTGCCTTCCTCCTTGTTCTGGAGGGCCCCTCTCCTGGAGGGGGCTGAGGGGGAGGTCTGCTTTACCTGCCGTCCTTAGCCTCCTGGGCCTGGCCATCATCCGTAACAATCTGAGGCCGCAGGGGCCGACGCTGCCGCAACCCGTCTGGCTCACTCATGGTGCCCGTGCAGCCGCTGCCCTGCTCGGGCACGAGCGCAGGCAGAGTCGCACTAGAGCAGAGCCTCGCTCCCCTTTGCAGCTCGCCCTTCCTGGAGGAGCGCAGGCGCGGCGGGCGCGCCCGATGATGTCACACCCACGTCGGTGCCGCGTCGCCGGCCCCGCCCCTTCCGCTCGCCCAGCCGGTCCCTCCTCGGCGGCTTCCCCGGATCCCCAGGTAAGCTGGTCAGGCTGCGACACGGGGCTCCGCAGGGCAGTGGCCTCGCCAGGGACCAGAAGCCCACAGCGGCCCGAGTGAGCGCTGAGCTCGGAAAGCGAAGGGCCGCACCGCGGGCTCACCAGGCCCCGGCCCCCTAATTGCCACTTTCTTTTTTTTTAAATCATTTTTATTATTGGGGGCTCGTACAGCTCTTAACACAATCCATACATCCATCCATTGTGTCAAGCACATTTGTACATTTGTTGCCATCATCATTATCAAAACATTTTCTTTCTACTTGAGCCCTTGTGAGACAGTTAAGGTTTATTGTGCCAACCAGGCCGATTTGCACATGTGGGATTAATTGAAGGGCACAGAGATAAATAGCTCTGTGAGCCTCGCTTTTGTAGTTCTCTGGTCTCTTGCTCTCTGGGGGTAGGACCAGGTGCAGCTGCCTTAGCCAGTCCCTGCTTTTGCTTGCAAGGCTCACTTCCTGCAAGACTTCCCTGAGGAGACTCCACATGGACCTACCCCGATGCAGCCCTGGGTGCTGGAGCAGCCCTGTGGAGACACCTGTCAGCGCTGAGATGCTTACACATTCACTGACTCGGCTTTCCTCCTGCAGTTGGCGTCATTGCGTCTGTTTTGTGAGATGGAGGAGGACTTTGTAGATTGGTGTTGGACATACGGGCTAATGTTGGACTTATGGGCTTGGACTGGGTTGGGATGCTTTCTGAATGTACACTTACCCTTTATATAGAACTTTTTTTATATACATATGAGTTTCTGTAGATTTGTTTCCCTAGACTAACACACCTTGGTATCAGCTCCTTTTTCATCTTGTTTTATTTCCAACAGTGAGGCAATAATAAGCATAACTAACACGCTTGCAGAACTGAGGTGTTAGCTGTTGTGTCAGAGGGAACAGTGCTCTTTTATTAAGGCATCAACACCATGATTCATGTTAGGTACCATCAAGGCGATTCCAACTCATGGTGACTCTGTGTACAACAGAAGAAAACACTTCCCTGTCCTGTGACGTCCTCACATTGATTATATTTGAGTCCATTGTTGGTTGCCGTTGTCACTCTTTTTCGCGGACCTACTTTACCAAGTATGATGTCTTCCAGGGGCAGGTGGTAGGGTTATGCCCTGAACAAGGGCTGTCTGTCCTGATTACTGTTAGAGTCCGATTGAAGGCCAATCAACCACTCACCCTCTCACCCCCAGAAAAAGTGATGACTCATAATGACTCACCCCTGAGCTGCCTGCATCCTGGCAGGCAGTCCAGACAGCAATCCAAACAACCAATTGCCAAACAATGGACCAACCAACAGAGACCTCACTGACCAATCAAAGGCCGCCCAAAAGACCAATCAATCTGAGGCCTCATCAATGAAGCAGAACACCAGGTTTAGGATCAATGAGAAAACTCGGTTTGGGCTTAAACTAGCCAATGTAACCATTCCCCACACCCATATAAAATCGAGCACATTGTTCCCAGACCTTGACCTCCTCAGCTTCTGAGGAAATCTGCTTACCTCTCAAAGTGTACTTTGCTTATTAATTCTTTGCTTCACCTACTGTCCTGACATTTTACATGTGTGGCTCCATCCGTTGCAGCTGCATTAGCCAATTACGTGCCCAGTTCCCCAATAGCAGGTCTTTAAAAAAGAATGTATTATTAATGGAGAGTTTCATTCCATATCATTCCATAGTTTCATCATGTCAAGTAGAATTGTACAATTGATACCAAACATTTTCCAAATCCGTTTCCAAACATTCTTTTACTTCCTGGACTCCTTGACATCATCTCCCTTTTACACACACCCCACCAACACCACCACTATACCTCCCTCCCCCACAACCCGTATTCTACTTGCTGCCCCTATAGGTTCATCACTCCTGTAGTTCATATACTGAAACAGGGAAACATAATACAACTTCAAGAGGGTGACCTCCAATGACAGAATACCTCTGAGATACACCCAAATATAAATGAACAAAAATAGGGAAAATGTTGATCAAGTCCAGCATGCAGCAGAAGGGGAATCAACTGAAAAAGTTTTAACTGGTGAAGTCAGATTTATGCCTTTGTTCTTCTATATTCATCTCTCCAATGCACTCTGTTTAGTAACCACTTTCCTCCCAGCCCTCAATTGTGGATAGAGGGCGATCACCAGAGCTCATTTCCTATGTAATTCCCACAAATGTATCTTGGGCTCCCACTGTCATCCATAGCCTTTGGCAAACTGGATTCTCACAATTTAGGCTCTGATACAATCCCTCCTTCCACTTCGGATTATATGATTTACAATCCTTCAGTGACTGAGGACTTGACTTAGTTGATTTAACTATTGAATGATATATGTGTATTAACTCTCAATAATAAAGTGAGAGAAAAAAAACCAAAACCTACATCCAGGAATGAGTTTGCGGCTTACACTAAATCCTAGCTACAACTTAAGAACAAGTAGTTCTTACATCATGGCCTTGCTTGATACTCACCCTCAGAAAGTGAACACAAGATATGGGTCCTATAGCAAAATGTGGCAAAGAAATTAGATGGTACCTGGCTATCAGATAAAATAGCATCTGGGGTCTTCAAAGCAGCCATCTATGTGAGATCTCAACTAAGTCCACATGGAAGAAGCACACCATCATCAGTCACTGAAGGACTGGACTCCATGTAACCCAAAGTCAAAGAAGGGAGCCATGTTAGAGCCTAAATTGTGCGAATCCAGTGTGCAGAAGGCGATGGATGAGAGTGGGAGTCCAAGATTCATTTGTGGAACTACTCAGAAAATAAGCCTCCAGAGAACTCCCATCTAAAATTGATGGGAGGAAAGTGGTCACTAAATGAAGTGCTTGGGAGAGAGGAGATCAAAGGCATAAATCTGACCTGAACATTTAAAACTTTGTTAGTAGGTCTGCCCCCCACCCCACCCCACCCCCCGCCACCCCCCATGATGTGGGCTGGACCTGATCTGGTTTCCAAATTTTTCTGTATTTTTTGTTTATATTTTCTTCAGTTTTTGTTTGTTCATATTCGAGTGTATCTCAGATGCTATGTCAATGGAGGCCACCCTCTTGAAGCTGTTATATGCTTTCCCACTTTTCAATATATGAAACCTGGGATCAATGAACCTAGAAGGACAGCAAGTTGAATAAGGGATTTGAGGGGGAGGGGGTACAGTGGTGGAGGTGGGATAAAAGGGAAATGATGTCAAGGAGTCCAGGTGGATAAAAAATGTTTGGAAACAGTGGTAGCAATTGTATATTCTACTTGAAATGATTGAAATTTTGAATGATATATGTATTAAATTCCAACTAATAATAATAAAAAAATTAAGGGAGGGGATAAAACTGGGGTATGACAGGTGCTACATCTACATGATCCATGCTCAGGCTTCAAGGATACCTCTACGCTCTGACAAGAAAGTGAATTTCTCCCAACCTCCTATCCCACAGTTGTGCACAAATTTACTGTACACTACATTCCTGGGAGCATTCCTGTTCTGTCCCAAGTTATTCTGGAATGTAAAATATCCATTAATGGATTCATCACTTTCTTCAAACTGCATTGTCTAAGTGGAAGTGATCACAGAGACTTTTCTGCTCATTATTTTCCAGGGGAGGTTTTCAGAAGCTCTCTCACATCAGCACCAATGTGACCTCCACATCCCAGGTCCATATGGTTTCTGGTGCATCCAGGCTCTTACACTGAGACTAACTAGACCTGCTGTAGGCGGTGCTTCAGATTTTCAGTCTCTCTTGACCACCTTGTCACTAGTAGTTGCTCTAGATCCAATAGAAATGGAAGAGTTACCTGGGTCTCGTGTAGCTGCTCCTTCTGATAGCTTTGTGCCTTCCTTTAAATTTTGTTGTAGCAGATGCTACCTTATTGACAACCCATGACCTCACTACTTCACTGCACACTTTCCCAGCTTCGTGTCCCACACTTGCTTGAACTTGTTCAAGGGCTTTCTCTCACCTTCATAGTTCATATTGCCCATTAGCTAAAGACCCCAGGAATTTAAAATCCCTCTGAATTCCTTTGCCACAGTGATAGCAGTTGGAGTATAAATGTCCCAGCTTTCAGCCTGGGGCAAAATAATTCTAGGGAAGCATATTACTCTGCCCCTTAGAGATCAGGACTGTACCCCTGTTGTCTATGGTGATAAACTGCTGACCGCCATATCTTGCATTGCACAGATATTGGACTTCTGAGTAAAAGACTTTATATCAGCCATCTTAAGTATGCTAGGATCAATAAAGGAAACTATCTACAAAGAACTAAAGCAAACTAGAAGAATGATGTCTCGCCAAAAAAAGTCAAGAAAATTTAAAAATATAAAACCAAATCAAAAGGAAATTCAAGATTGGAACAGCATAATAACAAATGAAATAATCACTAGAATATTCCAGTAGCAGAATTGAGCAGACAGAAGAAAGGATTAGCAAACGTGATATCAGTCCATTGAAATGATAATCATTTTATTGGGGGCTCGTACAAATTTTTTTAAATCATTTTACTGGGGGCTCATACAACTCATCACAATCCATACATCAATTGAATCAGGCATGTTTGAACATATGTCGCCCTCATTCTTTTCTAAATATTTACTGTCTATTGAGCCCTTGGTCTCAGCTCTTTTTTCACCCTCCCTTCCTCGTGAACCATTAATAATTTATAAATTATTTTGTTTCATGTCTTACACCAACCACTGTCTTCCTTCACCCACTTTTCTGTTGTTCATCTCCCTGGGGTGGGGTTATATGTTGATCATTGTCATCAGTCCCCCTATCTCACCGCACCTTCCCCTGCCTTCCTGGTATGGCTACTCTCATTATTGGTCCTGAGGAGTTTATCTGTCCTGGTATCAGACATCAAAGATCCAGAACAAAAATATATCAATGTGAATGAGGGATAGGGCAGAGTGGACACCCAAAGCTCATCTGTAGACAATTGGACATCCCCTCACAGAAGGGTCACAAGGAAGAGATGAGCCAGTCAGGATGCAGTATAGCACCAATGAAACATACAGCATTCCTCTAGTTCTTTAATGATTTCCCACCCCACCCCCCACTATCATGACCCCAATTCTACCTTACACATCTGGCTAGACCAGAGCATGAACATTGGTACATACAGATAAGAGCTCACAAAATATTATCTATTTGAGCCGTTATTGTCAGCAAATGAGCTACTTCTGATCCCAATTTCATACTCTCCAGTGCCTCTTTGCAATCATGGAGTAGTCTGTCCTCTCTTCTTAGTTGCGCTGACTAGGGTTTGGGACAAGACATTGTGGATCCAAGCAAGATGAACTCCTTGACAACTTCACCCATTTCTCCATTTATCATGTTACCCATTGGTCTAGTTGTGAAATGTTTGTTTTTCTTTACATTGAGCTGTAATCCATACTGAAGGCTACAGTCCCCGATCTTCATCAGCAAGTGCTTCAAGTCCTCATTTTCAGCAAGCAAGGTTGTGACATCTACATAGGGCAGTTGTAATAAGCCTTCCTCCCATCTCAATGCCACATTTTTCTCCTTATAATGTAGCTTCTCTGATTATTTGATCAGCATAAAGAGAAGGGAGAGGATGCAACACTCACACCTTTCCTGATCTTTAACCATTCAGTATTCTCTTGTTCTGTTCATACAACTGCCTCTAGATCCATGTACAGGTTCCACATGATCACAATGAAGTGTTCTGGGATTCCCACTCTTTTCAATGTTATCCATAGTTGTTGTTTTTTTATGATCCACACAGTTGAATGCTTTTACATAGTCAAAAAAATGCAAGAAAATATCTTCCTGATATTCTCTGCTTTCAGCCAACATCCATCTGATATCATAAATTATGTATTTTTTCCAATCTAGCCTGAACCTCTGGCAGCTCCCTGTCAATGAACAGCTGCAACCATTGTTGGATGAGCTTCACCAAAAATTTACTTGCATGTGTCATCGATATTGGTTCTATAATTTGAGCATTCTGTTGGGTAACTTTTCTTTGAAATGCAAAATGTGGACCTCTTCCAGACAGTTGGCCAAGTAGAAAATGTAAGGAACTAATATAAGGGGATTGGTCAGTTTTGCCATTTTACTAGTATAAAATGAGCCCTCTCACAAGTAGAAACAGAATTCCACAACTATCAAGAAGGAAGAGCTGAGTGAAGTGCATCCTAGATCCCTGCACAAAGAGGTGGTCGCAACACCTAGAATAGCATCCACAGCAGTGGGCTTCCAGGCTCACAGAATGAGGAAAGCTGAATGTCTTCAGGCAGGAGACTGGTCTACAGAGTGAGGTGTCCTTGAGTATTTATCAGCAGGAATGGAGCTTTGTTTGTAACACTTGCTTGAGCAAAGCTACAGAACAGGAGCCAAGTGGCTGAGGCCAAGCACCACCATGACTGAGAAGGGGTTGCTGTAAACAAAATACCTGTTCCTTTAACATTTCTGATCCTGACGTGTAACCGATTTCCTTTATAAACTCCATAATCATGAGTATTGTCTGTGAGTTCTGTGTGATCATTACAGCTGATTAGCAAACTCAACAGATAAGTCGAGTGCTGTGTGAGGGATGGTTGGTGTCAGAATATGGTAAACGAAGTTGCTAAGTGGAGGCATGTCTGCTCTCTGCCTTGTGGGAATCAGCTTTGAGTTCGTATGGAATTGGATTTACTTTCCCTCTTGTGTAGTTATAGGAGCTCAGGAACAGCCTGCATACTATTTACTCAGGACCACTTCCCATTTTATCCATATAACTGCTGTATATACTCAAGTATAAACCGACTCAAATATCAGCTGAGGCACCTAATTTTACCATAAAAACTGCATTAAAAATGTGCTGAAAAAACTCGGCTTATACACAAGTATATACGGTATATTCACACAAAGAGAATAGCATTGCTTGATTGAAACCATCATAACAAATAAATGAATGAAACAAAGCTTTATTGGACTCCTGTAAAAATCCGTCTGTGGGGCCCTTCATTCCTCGATGGCTTTATATTAGCAATTTCATCAACTGCATCATGATAAGACAATACAGGTCTTGTGTGTGCCCTTAGTTGCATAGGGGTGTGATAAATGACTGCTGATCGATGTTCTCCATATAACCTCACCCTGCTCCACACTCTCCTCCATGCACACTTACCTAGTGAATAAGCATATTGTGGCTAAATGATTTATATCATCTTGCTAATGTTCAACAGATGTAAGGCACATTGATTTAAGAAGCAAAAAATCCTTGGTTCGGTGCTCCAAGTCACTGGATAGGGAACAAATTGCTACGAACACCCAGCCCCGGAATGAAATGGGCAGCATTTTCCCAGGGCTCAGATTCACCAATAAGTGCTGTAAACAATCGCCTGACTTCTTGCAGGCCTCCCTTAAAAAGCTCATGTATATACTGGAGGCAAAAAGCAAAAGCTTTCTAGAGCAAAGCTTGGCGCCAAAAACATGTTACGAGGGTAGTTCATACTCCAGCTTCTAGGAGTTTTCATTATAATAAACCAGTCACAAGAGAACAATACACCAGGTCAGCATACTACATATCTGACCTTCTCAAGACAGCTGTGTTTAGAAGTACAAATATTTCTAAGTCAGATTTCCAAATTTACAAAAGGGTAATTAAAAGTGCTCCAATTCTCAGAACAATTCCCTACCAGGCAAAGGAGAAGATTTTATAAATTGTAATTGTTACAGAGAGCATGTACTTTACTTTCCCAAAATATAAATGTAGAAAAATAAATTTTCTGACTTTTGTACCTAGAAACATCTGGGAAAACCTTATTGCTTCTAGTTCTAAATTCTCTGAGCTGGCATATTTTACCAAGTTTCACACCTTCCTGTGTAGTTGCAATAGGAAGTGGGAAGAAAATGATTTTTTACTCCTGAAAGCCAAATTCAGGACAACGCAACAAGTCTGGCTCACATCTGACTGTGCCTCATATGGGTTACATCTGTGAGTTTTCGAGTAGAAAGAATGGGATTTTATCTGAGTTTACTTCACATTCGCAACAATGGGGATTATAGGCTGAGAAAGGGCATCTTCTGAGACATCTAGCGGGGGTTGGGGGGGCAGAGGGGAGACAATCTCAGAACTACATTCTGGGAACATAAGGGACTTGGTCACTTAGTTGTAGTCAAAGACTTTCAGGTTGAGGCATGTCCTCCTGACTAAGAGTTGGGTGACCTGTCTTTGTACTTCTGGTAGGTAGTCAGTATCTCCTCAATGACGTTGGGGTCCTCCAGGGTGGTAATATCCCCGAGATCCTGAGTTTTGTTGGTGACTATCTTCCTTAGGAGCCGCCTCATGACTTTTCCAGACCTTGTTTTGGGCAGGCGTTTCACCACCTGGCGAGGAACAAATGCAGCGTTAGAATGTGGAGGGGTAGATAATTATGTGATACTGGTTGGTGGGTGGGTATGTCCCCTTGCCAGAGAATGTTAGAGCCTGTGGACTTTCCCAGCTTTTCCTTCTACAACCACCTGCACCTAAAACTGAAATCAAGCCCCTGAGCAGGACAAACATTTCTCAAAATGGCTTGTGATCAATTCAGGGATCACTGAGGGCCTCCCTGTCCAGGGTTTATACCTCACTGAAGATACCTCTGTTTATTCCAGTTGACTGTGTCCCAAGTGATTTCTTTTAGTAGTACAGTCAAGCACGAGGGGATAGCACCTAATCTCCGCCCTGTCCTGGGACTCAGTTGGTTTTATCTCACAGAAGAGGTGAGATTTACCTGAGAGGAAGCCTTAATCTTCAATGTTTGAACATTTAATCTGTAACATTTTCAAGCAATCATGCCAGATTTTATGGAACTTGTCGTGCATGGAGATCTTTAATAGTGATGTTCTATCCTGTATAATTTTGTATAGATAGCCCTAAGACTGGCCAACAACCCAATAGTTTGACTATTTAAAATGCCAAGTAGCAAATGATAATGCTGAAGTCCCAAAGCTCCCATCCATGATGTGAACGTGGGCCTCCTGTCTCAGAAGATCGTCACAAAATCAAGGCGTCGCTAGAGGAGGAGTATTGATAAAGGATGACACAAAACGGCTGGAGGGGATGAACAGGTTATGCATTTCTTTCCAGAAAGGGACTCAAATAGAGACTCCCCCAAAAGGGATCTGGCTCTACCTCCTTCCCCAACACCAAGAGGTTTGGGGAAAGCAACTTCACAGACCACATGGAGGCTGGGGAAATCTAGTACTGTGTATATGCTTTTCTAGTTAAAATCCCTCATGTCTTCACCACTCAGTCCTGCTCCTGTATATGCCAAATAAGAGCATATTGAATACTGACTAGAACAGTTTCACAAACGGTGAGTTGTGTAAAGTTTTGGTGCTATATTCCTCTCTCCTCCGCTAAGGTCAGGTTTGGTAGCAGTACACTCACAGTTGACATCCCCTGAGTTAGTTACTCACCAGAATCTGGTCGGGCACAGCATACTTGGCAATCTTGGTGGCCACTAGCGACTTGAGTTCTCTCGCCACCACGTCTGTGTCATCTGCACCAGTTTTCAACACGATGAAGGCAAACGCAGCTGGAAGGAAACCAATGGCTTGGGGTGTGCTAAACTACAAACCATACCCAAAGCAGAGTGCTTGATACAAATCACCGCCAATCCAAAGGACTTAACGATCACATATTGGTGACACTGCATGAGCTGGTTTCTTTAGCTACACCCCTCTAACAGCTCCATAGAACATTCTAACATCTAACAGCTCCATAGAACATTCCTGTGATTGTCCTGTGTGTGATGAACATAACTGTTCCTGACTGGCTGCGTGTGACCCGGGCAGATACTTAACCTCCCTGAAAGACCCATCCCTGGGAAATTCCCATAGCATCCTGATAGAAGACACCGATGAGGCCTGTGTGATCATGAGCTATCAAGGGGATCAGGTATCAGGGATCAAATACCTAGAGCAAAAAAATCATAATATGAATTGGGGGCGGGGGGGGGGGGGGGGGGGGGGGGGGGGGGGCAGTGCAGAGTGGAGGCCCAAAGCCAATCTGTAAGCAATTTGACATCCCCTTACAGAAGGGTTGTGGGGAGAAGACGGGCCAGTCAGGGTGCAGTATAGCACCAATGAAACATACGGCTTTCCTCTGGTTCTTTAATGGTTCCTCCCTTCCACTATCATGACCTTAATTCTACCTTACAAATCTGGCTAGACAGAACATGTGCATGGGTACAGATAAGAGCTGGAAACACAGGGAACCCAGGACAGATAAAACTCCTCGGGACCAATATTGAGAGTAGCAATACAAGGAGGGGAATGGGAAGGGTGGGGGGGGAATCTATCACAATGATCTACTGTAACCCCTTCCCAGGGGGATGGACAACAGACAGTGGGGTAAAGGGAGACATCAGACAGTGCAAGACATGAAAAAATAATAAGTTATCAATTATCAAGGGTTCATGAGGGAGGGGGAAAATGAGGAGCTGATACCAAGGGCTCAAGTAGAAAGAAAATGCTTTGAAAACAATGATGGCAATATATGTACAAATGTGCTTGGCACAGTAGATGGATTTATGGATTGTGATAAGAGTTTTACGAGCCCCCAATAAAATTATTTTTAAAAATAAATTAATTAATAAAAATAAAAACAACCTTCAGATCTTTAAAAAAAAGAAGACACCCATGAGGTGGTGCTTGTGGCACAGCAAGCCAGTGCCACCCTTGTGGAAATGTGCTGGCCAACACAGCAGCCCTGTTTCATGTGCCACCTACCCAACACTACAGCATTCTGTCGGACTGGACTGTGTATCTACAGAGCCTATATGAGTGAGGTTTGACTTTCCCATAGCCTGCCATGGCATAGGGTAGACTTAAAGTGCCTCTTAGTGTCTCTATCTGGAATTAATCTTTGTGTAGGGTTTGATGAATGGTTCTGATTCCAATCTTCTCCAGGTAACCACCCACTTGTCCCAGCAAGGAGTGCCCAAACCAGAGACAACAGATGCTCATCAGGTCCAGAGCCACAAGACCCAGGGACTCACCTTGGTTAAATCAAATGCAGAACAGAGGGAACAGGATAGAGAACAAAACAACATTAGTAGATAGTGTCTACCAAGACCTATGAGGGATTACTCTTATGCATTGCCCAAACTGTTAGAAATTAGGAAATGCCAGTCATCAGATCCACAACATATAAACTCCCCAATCCCAGCACAGTAGACACTGGAAGCCTGGCAACACAGAGTACTATTCAGGGCCAAGAGAGACCATGTGGCTGCAGAGCCCACCAAGCCCCACCCAGCTGCCAAGGCTCCATGATGGACAAGCTCCAAGGTAGCCTTGCATGGACAGCATCACTAACAAGACCCCCACCCCAGCACAGATGTGACAGAGGAACCTCGCCAAGAGATGGAGTGACCCCTTGTGTCTTCATACTAGGTCTGAAATTCATAGCTCATTGAGCTGCCCTTGGTCTTGCACTTATTTTCTGGGGGTCCCTTCAGGGATGCTGTGCTTCCAGAAGACAGAAAAAGCTTGGAGTATAGCTCCTATTGGCAGAGTCAGGAGAGGGCACTTCGCAGTCTCACCACTCGGGCCCTGCCAGTGTGCGCTGGCCTCAGCAAGAGTCTCAGGGCCCGATGAGCTCCCAATGCTGAGGAGGTATTACTACCCACAAGCCCACACACGCGGGTTTGCTTGGACTCCAGCACTACCCAGTGCCCCTGGGAGACCCCAAGTGACCCACATCAGCTACGCATCTCCCACATATCCCCCCTAAAGCACACAAACAGCAAGTGTTGCTGACACATTCTTTTCATTGAAAGGAAATGCTTTTTCAAAAAGCATTTGGAGAAGTGGTCCATGTAAAGAGAGCTTGTAGGTCCAGACAGCACAGTGCAGACAATGGGGTCAGGAAGACAGACAACACTCAGGATACAACGCAACACAGGATGCCTCTACAAGGCAGCAAGCAGAGTCCATCTGCTGGCACAGCCCAGGCACAGCGTCAATACCCTGGTGTAGGGTCAGTGTGTGTCCTGGCCATGTCTAACGAGTGAGGCCAGTGCAAACCTGGCATATCAACACCAAGTCGATCCGTCCTGTTCCTCCCAGGCCCAAGCACTTTGAAAATAGTGGTGTTTGCCCCACGACATACCCTCCATAGAGAGGACTGCCCATTCATTCACTCTGTATTCTCTAGCATGTCCATGTGTGCACACACTAAGGTGTCTGAGAGAACCCCACTCACCACCCAGCCACCCAAGGGCACACCCTGACCAGCATGCGTGTCACCAGGCACTTGGACAAGCCCATGGAACTATGTTCTGTGAGCAGGGCAGGGGGGATTTTATCACAGAAACTGACAATGTTCCATGGCTGCCAGCAAGGACAGATGAAGACACACACACACACACTCAGCTCCCACTCCATCCAGGTCCCCTGGGATGTCAAAAGGGACCCTAATTCCCACATTTGAGCTGTTGAGCCCAGTGCTCAAAATCTGCATGCACCAGGGCCAGCTTGCCCACAGCTCCCCACCCTCACCCTCTGCGTTTGCCCCCTCTCAGAGGGGCTAGAAAGACCCCGTTTTGAATACTCACCTTCACCCTTGATATCATGGGGGTAGCCGATGACAGCAGTTTCTGGCACTGAGGGGTGGTCGGCCTGAACACAGCAAAGAACAAAAAGGGGACATCCAGTAGCCCCAGGCATCAGAGTAACGTCTCCACTTAGTGTACAGTCCCACCCAGCCCCAGGTGAGTAGGCTCAGTCTGGAGGCCCAGGAGGGCCAGGTCACTCACTATTGCATCCTCAATCTCTGCAGTCCCCACGCGGTGTCCGCTGATGTTGATGACGTCATCTATCCGCCCTGTGATCTGGTAGTAGCCCTCCTTGGTGCGGTGCACACCATCCCCAGTGCAGTAGTGCCCTGAACCCCAGAGAAGGGACTCAGTGCCAGCGTGCCCAGCTCCTATCCTGAGTGATCACTCGGGCCATATCTGGACCATGCAACAACATGGGCTGCTGACCCAAACCCAAACCTCACCTCATTCTCATAGAGCCACCGCCCTACATGGTACGATGTGACTCCCTTCTAGATGAACTGAACATGGTGGGCAGTACGGCTGCAAATGCATGGGGCACAGAAGCTACCTACAGACTCACTGTCAGAGAGTGAAGTCCGACGTGTATCAACCCTATGGGAGAGGAGAGCAGCCTCCGGGGGTTCTGAGTTGTGCATCTTTAGGAGAGTAGGAAGGCTCACCTTTCTGCTACTGAATGGCGAGTGGTTTCAAACTGCTGACTTTATGATTAGCAGCCCAAGGCATCATAACCCACTATGCCACCAGGGCATAGACGGGGTATAAGAAGCACAAATCAAGATGCTTCCGGTCCCCACCCCACCCCTCCAAAAAGAGTTTGTTTACAAACTAAAGACTGAAAATTATTTATGGCATCAGGCACAAGAAAAGAATAAAGTGTTCACAAAAATGGGGGGGGGGGATTGAATACGTCCTGAGAAAACCCCTTGCCATAATCATTTCCAGGGTGGTTTCTCCACTGCTTTCCTCAGATATGGCTCCCTAATGTAGGGGCCTGCCCCATGAGATGAAGGAGGCGGAGTAAGGGCTATGGGTGGGAGAGTCACACTGGTGCCTCTTACGTGCTTGTCTTGAGCTGCAGAGCCACATCACACTCAGCGCACTCATCCAGAAACATCTCTGAGTTTGGTCCAGCAGTCTGCAGAGAGGGCTGCAGGCCACCCCACCCCAGCCCACTCACCAGGGTAGTCTGTAAAGTAGGTAGTCATGAATCTAGAGTGGCTCCCGTAGATGGTTCTAGCCATGCCTGGCCACGCCTGCGGGAAGCATAGCACCCCAGAGACATCGTTGCCCTCCATTGTGCTCCCCTGCAGAGAGGCAGATTCAAGCTTGAGTGACAAATTAGTGCGGTCCTGCCCTGGCCCATAGAGGGCACACTCTGAATGGATCCAAAGGAGCTACATGCAAGGGTCTGAGGGAACCCCAGGCTCACTTGTCACCACCCCCAGGCTGACAGTCTTCCTTTGAGAGAAAGGTGAGTGCTGATACAGGACAAGCTCTGGGCCCAAGTGGTACAGGTACAGCATACCTAGACATGCTAGGGCTGTGGAGATAGAGGCCTGGACAGGAAGGGGGCTATCCTGTGATTACACACACCTTCTCGTCCATAACAACTGGGATAATGCCAAAGAAAGGTCTCATGGCCATGCTGGGGATGATCTCAGCGCCCTCCTCTGAGGGCCGTGGAGAGATGCAGATGCCGCCTGTCTCTGCAGAGGAGGAAGAAAGTTAGTGGCCTGGGATCGCACCCACTTATCCAGACTTGATGAAAAGGAGGCACTGGGCACCACAAACTGATTTCCCTCCAACAGTGTGATTTGGGGGTGGGGGTGCCCTGCTTCTGCAGCAGACCTAGGCCAGGCTCACTGTATCATTGTATACCATGAAGCACCCCAAACAGCCTACTAAATCAGACATCCAAAAAGAGGGAAAATAAAATCACGACCGAGAAAACTCCCTTTCCCACTAAAGTTTAAATGTAGTCTCACGTCATTTAACCACTAAAAGCCCAGTAGGCCCCCTCACCCACAGATGTTCTTGTGTTCAGGAAAGGGCTCCTATAGTTAACAGCTTGAACCAGGTCTGGTTCCACACGAAGCTCTTAGCAACTCACTTTAACGACATCACGAACCTCTTTAAGACGCCCGGGAGACAAGACCTCCATTTTAGACTAGCAGACTGGCCTCAGACAGGCAGCTACACAGCACATATCTAACAGCAAGACTGAGCCCAGAGTTTCTGAGCTGACTGTCTGAACATCCAGATGTGTGAATGGACAGGAGAGTGCTAACAGCCAGTGTCCTCGCTCAAGGCAAGAGTTGCCCCGGAAGTGGTGCCCAGTGATCCCACCGCATCATCAGGGACATTCTCACCTGTCTGCCACCAGGTGTCAACCAGTGTGCATCTGTTGTCCCCCACGACCTTGTGCAGCCACTCCCAGGCCTCATGGTTGATCGGCTCTCCCACTGAAACCACATAGCAAGAGGGAAAAGACATCAATAGACCCCAGTGGAAACCCAAAGGATAGGCTGTTGAGTGGAACAAACTATAATTTTCCTAAAGGATATAAAACCATGCTATGTCATCCAAGAAATGTAGATTTCAATGTGAAACTCGCCAGTAAAGAGGTGGCAAGGGTGTTCATACACACACTCTGGGATGTAATCTGGTACAGCAATTTGGACATTTCTCTTAACATGTGAAAGTGCATAGAGCTGATATTTTTGGACCATTGTTTGGTCGTCGTTGTTAGTTACTTCTGAGTTGGCCTTGGCTCATGGAAATTTTACAAATAACAAAAGGAAATATTACCTAGTCCTGCACTATCCTCATGATATCTGGTATGCCTAAATCCGTTGTTGCTGTTATTGTGTCAAAGCTTCTCATTGAAGGCTTCTCTCATTTTTACTGACCATGATGTCCTTTTCAAGAAAATGGTCTTTTCTGATGATATGTGCAAAGTAAGCAAGACAAAGTTTCACCATTCTCACATCTAAGGAGCATGCCGGATACATTGTCCTAGACACATCTGTCCATTCTCTGGCAGTCCATTCAATAGTCAATATTCTTCACCAATACATCAATGCGTCTTTTTGGTTTTCACTGTCCCGCTTTCACACACATATGAAGCAATTGAAAAGACCATGGCTTGGATCAGAGGAATCTTTGTTTTTGTTTGCTTGTTTGTTTTAACATTTTAAAGAGGTCTTTTGTTGTGGATTTACCCAATGAAATACATCACCTCATTTATTGAATGCTGCTTCCGCAGATGTGAATTGCTAGTCCCAGTAGAATAACACTCTTGACAACATCAATTTCTTCACCATTTGTCATATTGTTTATGGGTCCAATCGTAAGTATATCTGTTTTCTTCACCGGCAGGTATAGTCATACTGAAAGCTCTACTAAACATATTTGTAAACATAAAGCCTCGATGTCCAAAAATATTATCCTGGGGTAATACAGACATGAAGGCCTATGTCCCCTTGTGGGGATGTCCAGAGCTGCCCTGTTCACAAGAACCCCAAACCAGAGACTATCACCAAAAGGAAAATGAAGCCATGATGCCAATCACACAGGCAGCGGAGCTCCATAAGGCAACAGAAACGGGTGAACCACTACCAGAGTAGAGGTGTGATGAACCAAGACCATGACCCCACTCAGAGTGAGGTTCTGAGGGTAAATATGAGTGGCCACATGTATGTGGGTTCAGGAGCAAGCAACACTTGTCTGTGGAATTGAAATCAAAGAGTAGGTGTGCCTGGGTCTCTAAGTGGGAGGGGCACCCTTGAGCCCCTGTGCATAATGTAGGTATGTGTATACATATTCTTCAAGATGAACCCTCAAGATGTGTGTGTTTCAGTGTATTTTATATCTCGATCCAAAACCAAAAATCACTGCTGTTGGGTTGATTCAGACTCACAGCGTCCCCATAGGGAGGGTAAAACTGCCCCTGTACTTCTGAGACTGTAACTCTTTGCAAGAGTAGAAAGCCTTGTCTTTCTCCCGCAGAGCAGCTGATAGTCTTACATTACCAACCTTCCAGTTAGCAGTCTAATGCATAGCCCACTGCGGTACCATGGCTCCCTTATACCTCAAGAGGATAAGGCAAAGTACTAAACCCCTATGACTCCATCAGCCAACCTCTGTGTCTATCCTGGGAGAGCCATACACAGGGCTGATGTGTCTTGGGACTTGTTCACACGTTGAAACACTTTCATGCAAGTTATCTCTCACTCCAGACTACCCACAACCCAGCAACTCTCTGATGCCTGTCCTGGCAGGAGCTGCTGGATTCCCCATAGGAGACAGAAGAAGATGTCCACTACCACCCTGGTTCTCCAAGAAAAGCCCACACTCTATTTCAAACTCTACATAAATGACTGTGTAAGCCACAGCTCCCCCTTGAATAGGGCCACCTCTGAAGACAAAGGCCCCAGGTCGTTGAGTGATGGTAAAGAGTATAGGGCAGTAAGAGAGTATGATAGTGCCCTTGTCAAGAAGAAGCTTCCTCAAAGAGCTGTGTCTTTGTGTATACTCACACCTGTGCCGACAGGGTTGGGGGGCTCACAGCCACAAACAGACTTTCTGAAACCTCGGCGTTCACTGCAGGCTTCCCATTCCCCCTTTTCTCAAAACAAAACATATTCATTTGTTACTTGTGAGATGGAAAGTGTGTGTGTGTGTGTGTGTGTGTGTGTGTGTGTGTGTGTGTATTCTAAAGAAAAAAACAAATCTCGGGATGAACATCTTCAGGTAGCTGAATTCTTCCTACTGGGAGGATAAAGAAATCAACACACCCAAACCTGGTTTACCCAAGGGTAACTTTCAGCTAGCCTGGAGCTGGCCTGAGATGGCCTCCGGAAAAGGAGATGTTCCAGTTTGGCCCTGACATCCCAGATCTGAAGCACATAGACTGACAGTGGTGCTGGGTCCATAGGACTTGGACGCCCATGGTTGCTTGCATGACAACTGATATATACTGATGACAGCAGATGGCTTGCCACAGTTGTGACAAGGCAAAGAGTTGCCACCCAAAGCTTTTTTGTTGTTGGGTCAATACCAATTCATAGCAATCCCAGGTGGCAGCCTAAAACTGCTCCATAAGGGCTTTCTTGGTTGTAATCCTTGCAGAAGAGTTCCAAACCTTTCTTCCACAGTGCCACTAGGTGGATTTGACTCACCAAGTCTTTAGGTAGCATTGCTCAGGATGTGCCTTTCTTGGGGGTTTATTGGTTCAGAGAAGTTTCTGATCCAAAAGAAGGTGCATTAGCCACAGACCTCCCAAGAGAAGGACAGCAGGGCCTGAACCTAGCCTCAGCAGGGAGTGGGAGCCTCACACTCACACAGTGGCTATAGCACATCCTGTCCTGAAGTACACTTTTCTGCAGGTTCTGTGAATCTCTTATGGGCTCCCTTCCTTATTGTCCACACTCTAGCCCCAGTAGGAGGTCCCTATGAAGCAGGTACCATAATGCAGATCCTGGGCCCCACTCAGGGGTCAAGGATGCATGTGGACAGCACTGGCCACATCTGCGTTTCATTTGGGTTCCCAGATGCTGCCTAAACAGAGCACAGATGTGGCACCACAGAGAGTGAACTGGATAGATGGCCCTATCTCTTTTTATGGGGCCACCAGACAGGAACCATAGCCCCAGCAGGCCATGAAACGGTCTCAGACTCACAGCCATCCAGAAAGGCACTTCTTGAGATAATGTCACTTATTGCGATAATGCCATGCATCGTCAATCCTGCTGACCCCAGGCTTGGTCACTCAGTCACACTTATGTGTACAAAGAATGGACATCTGAAAAGGAGTCCTCTCCCCAAGCCCTAGGCCCATGTGGTGCCATGCCCTGGGTACAGCACTCAGGTGGCCCCAACTCTCACTGAATACACAGAAGAGCACATCCCTCACCATTCACTTAGGCGGGGAGGCTATGTGACAGTCAGTAGACAAAGTTGGGGCAATTGAAGAGTTACAGGAAGGAGGAGCTGGGCCGTGCAGGCTCTGCCCGTACACACACTCAGAAAAGCATGAGGGCAAATATCCTGACTAGATTAGGGTCACAGGAAATGCACCATGCACTGGGGAGCATGCAAAAGAGGTCCGGAGGGAGGGCTGTCATCCTGAGAGGCAAAGGAGAGCGGGACTCGGCAGGCTGAGGTGGGGACACAAACTGAGGCCCTAGAGACCTGTGAACGTTGCTAGGGGGGGGGTGGGGGGTACAAGGGGGTGCGGAGGGGATGATAGACTGTCACCAGAACCAAGCACAGGGCTTAGCATAGATTTGGCAACTCAATTGATGAGGAAACTTGGAAAAATTCTATGAATACTCTGGGCCTCAGTTTCTTCCTCGATAATGTGGGGTGATAGCAATGGGCTGACATAAGGATTAATATATTTAACAAATATCAGTTACTATGAATAGGAATGACACAGTGGTTAAAGAGTCAGCTGATACATGAAAAGTTGGTAGTTGAGCCAATGTGGCAATCTGTCTCTCTGGGGATTGGTAGCCTCAGAAACCTTGTAGGTTAGGTCTACTCTGTTCTACGGTGTCACTGTGAAATAGAGTCTACACTCAGTGGCAATGGGTTTTGCTCACTTTTGTTTATTAGTAGTACTGCAGACTCAGTCTCATAGTATCTGTCATCCTAGGAAGTTCTTTGTTACACAAAAAGGGGAAAGAAGACAAAGGTGAGCGCAAAGCAATTCTTAAGGTTACCACTGTATGTCAGGGACTCTATATGTATTCTTTTACATAATCCTTAAAACTCTGAAGGGGATGTTCTACCCTCTTTGAGGACAAGAAAAGTAGAGAGCTACCCATAAGGAAACAAGTCGCAAAGAGTCTTGTGGGATACAGCTGCCCACTGTGACCGTGCTGTACACACACTTTCACCAGACCTCACACCCACAGCGCTGATGACCCCACATGCCTTCTACAAACAGCGAGGGGCAGGCCTGTATATTCGCCCAAAGAGCCTGCAGGAGTCTCCCACTCTTGCTTTCCCAGAGAGCCGGCCACCTCGGTAAAAATGCAATCAGGCATGGGCAAAGAGAGGGATAGCCATGTATACTTTTCACTCTTGTATGCTGTGAGAACAGTGCCTTCCCAAAGATTGAGCAAACTCTACCCAAATTAAAGATAGAGATAACCTTTGATCTGGCAAACCTCTGCTGCAGATGTCAACAAAACAGTTCAAAGATTCAGAATGATACTTAGTTCACCCACAGCAGTAAAGAAATGTTCAGTGAATTGAAGTAAATAAGCATACAGCCATAAAATTAAGTTCCATACTATCGCCAGAGAAGTGACTTGGGCCTTAATGTGCTGAGCTGGTGTTTGTAATAAATCTTAAGCAACAGAACTCGGGCACAGAACAGGTGTGGAATGGTATATGATCTAGGGTCAAAGATAAGGGCAGGAGAAGGGTGGGATTGGCGCAGGGACACCCAAAGAGTTGTTAGTATGCACCATTAGCTCCAAGCCTGCAAAGTTGTGGTAGAGATCATTTGGAAATGTGTTCTGCCTCTGCCAGACCTGAGCCTGCCCAGTCTCCTGCCACAGGACAGACTCACCTGAGCCCAGGGTCCGCAAAGAGGATCGGTCATACTTTTTCACCCAGGCGTCACCATACTTCAACAGCAGCCGCACGGCTGTTGGGGCACAGTAGAACTGGTTGATCTGTAGGCGCTCCACCATCTCCCAGTACCGACCTACAAAAATGTCCAACGTGTCAGTGCAGCCCTCTGACCACAACCTCCCCAGCCAGTTAAGGGTAAGCCTGTGGTCTCGTGTGTTGATCATGTGCACATGCCTCATGTGTTCACAGAAAGCATGTAGAACTGTTACTGGAAGAAGAAAGAGCCTGTAGCTCTGGAGTTTATACTGCTCTCAAAGCACCACACCCAGTCCACTGATGGCATGTTTCCATCCTCCTGTCGGTATTCTACACAATACAGCTAGGACTTGGATCAAAGAGATGGGACTGGTTATTTTAAAACCACCCTGCAACTAATGCAGAATTGTTGTTCCATCACAGTTCAATGATCTCTCTTCTGGTAAATGGTGCTCCCTGGGAGTGCCCAGAATGCACATGGCTGTAAGAGAGCCCCACTCAAAAGATAAAGAGCAGACCTCAAGTGGTTGGAGTGATGAGCCTGAAATTATTGTAAAGCTGTGCTTCAGTCTCTGAGTTGTGAACCCAGCAGGTTCTTCCTTGTGCTGCCAGCACACATGGGGAGGACCAAAATGGCAGTCCTCTGCATGTTTGTGTTAGAACCTCCAGCAGAGCTAATGCAATTCAACTCAATTAAGACAAGTATTTGGGGACATTGAAGGAAGATGCCAAGATGATCAAGACACAGCTATGTCTTCAAAGCTCCTACAATCAGCCTCGATTTATAAAGGGAGCACCCAGCCATCCCTTAACCTGATTTGGTGCACTCTTAGGACAGCTCTGTTGACATAGGGTGGGGTCTGGGTCTCCCTCCACCAGGGAGATTAGAGGTGCAGCCAGATGGCTAGACTCTGGGGAAGGGCTTGGTGACCAGTTGGCAATGGGGTGTAGGAGGGCAATGTAAGTCTAAAGAGTCAGTGTAAGTAAAAGGGGCAGGAATGCCGGAATGGTGACCTACAACTACCTTCCAGCACCTACCAGAATCTCTTCTTCCCCTCATCTGATCTTACACAGATGGGTACCAACCTGATGAGCCCATAAATGGGACCCGTGCCCAAGAGCTCTAGGTCCACCTGCATATTGCTCATCTGGGTCACATGACCCCACCACATAGAGTCCAGGCCTCCAACTTTATGTCACCTTACTTCAGTCCTTGAGCACTCTTCTTGCCCTGGCATGGGGTCTAAAGCAGTGACCCCACTCCTCACCAGCATTCGGGTAAACCGGGGTGCTCTCAAAAAGGACAGTGGTGGCTCCATTGCAAAGTGGTCCATATACCACGTAGCTATGTCCTGTGATCCAGCCAATGTCAGCCACACAGCCAAAGACATCACCTGGCTTATAGTCAAACACAAGCTGCAAACAGAAGGAAGAACTGTCAGGAACAGGCTCTTACTCTCCCACACTGTCAGCTCCTTGTAACTGCCACCATTCACCCCAGGCCAGGGAGTTGCTCCCCCCGCAGCCCGCTATTGACCAGATACATGAAGGTCAAACCCGGACAGAATGATCTGTGCTGATAATTTTGGAACCGAGGCCATCATCAATGTATAGACTGATGTGAGTGTGAGGGGGTGGCAGCCACGGAAGAGTCTGCAGGGAAATACAAATGTCTCAAGACTTGTTATAGGTGGGGGTGGAACTGTATTTTCATAAGTAAAAATCCATCTCATTGTACACTTCAGATTAACACCAAGGAATACAGAGCATGAATACATGTATTATCAGGAGGTCTTGTCTAGGGGCCCAACATGAGTCTGACCTGGTCTCTGAACCCAACTGTTAATTTACCTGGACACAAAGGACAGGGGGCAATCTGCAACAGCAAGACCGCAGAACCTCATGGTACCAAAGGCCCAGGTTCTACAACAGATTCAAGGAAATGAAGGGGACTCTGGGGAATCCAGGGAGCCCTGGCAGTGCAGTGCGTTACATGTTAGGATGCTCACTGCAGTGACAGCAGTTCAACACCACCAGGTGCTGTGCAGAAGAAAGGGGAGGCTTTCTCCTCCTGTTAAGATTTTCAGTCACCAAACTCTACAGGGGTAGTTCAATGCCATCCTAGAGGGTTACAATGAGTCAGAATAGGCTCGATAGCAGTGAGTTGGGTGGGGAATTTATGTATTTGAATTAATTATTAGACATACTAAACTTTTTTCGTGGGCAAGAGCATGCTATCATGGGTAGGGACACATCTTTCAGCAGCACCCTACAGAAAGAAGGAGCAGGGAGTAATGGGGTAAAACTCAGGGGGTATCTCTGGTGAGATTGGGAGAAGGGGGACAGAGCATACAGAAGGGACTTCTCTGTGGCTTCTTGGGCAAAGTAACATTTGCTGTGTAATGAACTCCTAAAACCATCCTTCAATTTGGGTATTTTTCTGTATCTATATATTGTTTTATAATTTCTAAAAATCGTTAAGTGTTTGGTGGTCTGCCGTCTTACATTGCTGCAGACGGGATGATATTCTCCAGGAAATGTCTCCAAATAGTGGCAGTGGCCATGTGGTGGCCAGTGTCAGGCAGAGCTGGGTCACAAGGGGCAAGAGAAGATTCCGTCTAGAAAGAATGCTGTTTCACTGGTGACAACTGATGAGTCTCGACGCACACATCCTGAAGCCCGGAAGCACGCAGGAACTAAAAAGGTTTTCTAATCTAGTCTGTCTCAAGTTGGGAGACGCTCTCTCACCACAGTTCAAGACAGGCGAGCAGGCAGTTGGGTCGACCCTTCCCCAAAGAACAAAACAGAGGGCTAAGCCTTGCCCTGCCTCCTACCCACCCAGATCCAACCACATCCCAGACACCCTTTCAGATTCCACAAAATCATGTATGAAAAAACCCACAGGCTTGGCATCTTCCTCTTCAGAGAGGAAGAAGTTGGCTCCCCATGCCCCACCCTGACCTCACTGCCTCGGTGCCTGCTCGTGGGCACCCCACTCTTGCCTGGCAGGATTCTATAGCAGCAGGGGCTCCAGCCTTCCTTCAGTCGGGTACCCTCCCTTCATCATGCACTCAGCCTGTGAGAGGAGTGGCCCACATCTGTCACCTGTCCTCAGAAGAGCTACAAGAGTTGTGTACCTTGTGAGTGAGTGCTGCATAGAGCAGGTAGCCTGCCTGAGTGTGTACAAGTCCTTTGGGCATTCCGGTGCTCCCCGAAGTGTACAACAAGAAAAGCATGTCCTCGCTGCCCATGCTCTCTGGGGTGCACGCAGGGTCCTCCTTGGCCATTTCCTGTGTTGGAGAAAGCACAACAGCCTGTCCAGAGTGTTTTGCCCCACCTGGGGACACTTCCATTCGTAGGTGCAGGAGCCAGCTCATCCCTTCTGGCCTGCCTAGATGTATTTCCAAAAGCAGAGCATCTATAACATGAAAGGACCGATCCCGTGAACAGCCCATTACATTTATACATGTCCCATCATGCCTGTAGCATCTGAATTCTATCTTCCATTCAGGTGATAACCTACTGGGACTGTGGGGGGGCGGGTCCTGGACATCTCCAGGAGCTCAAATTGAGAACTACCACTGAGAAGCCTCAGACCCAGGAAACCCAGCTATCCTTACAGCCTTCCTGGGCCTACACCAAACAGGGTGAACCTACCTGCTCCAGGGGGACATCCAAATTCCCCATGGGGACCTTCTTGTCTGTCCTGTGGGCCACCAAGACTCGTCTCACAGTGGGACAGAGCTTCACAGCTTCATCCACAATCTTCTTCAACTCCAGCACACGGCCACCCCGGAGCCCCTGATTGACAGTGATGACTACCTCGCACTTGGCTGTGGAGACAACATGAACACTTTGGTCAGTTTCTCTTTCAAATGAACCACATGGCTGTATTCAAGCTGCCTATTCCAGGCTTAAAGTTGAACCCTAACTAAGAATATCAACAAAGATACAGAGGTGGACTGCTTTGCAAACATTGTGAGGGGTGTAAGCTCAAGGCTGGCCCAAGCTTTGTGGGTATGATGGAAGCAACTGAGGTTGTTACTTGGTAGCTCCATCTCTTCCAGACTGGTAGCCTAAATAAACTCCCAGTGACAGGAGTCCTGTCATTCTCTCTCATCTGCCCCTGACTGGGACCTGGAAGGGCATGAAGGTCGAAGATAGGCTGAGAGATGCACAGCTCCTCGTATGCTGAGGTGAGTTTGGTCCTCTGGAGTGGTGAAAATCCTTCTCCGCATAGGCCTTAGTCTCCTTCTTGGTCTGAGCCCACAGAGTCACTGAGCTGGCTACTGGTTGCTCTGCCATTGCAGTCCTTGCCTCCGCTGTGCTCTGGCATAATTGTAGCCAGGGCAGCATGGCAGTCCTCCAGTGGGGAAGCTACTGGTCAGAGATTGGCTTTAAGGAATTCCACAGCTCTGAGGCCTAGCAGAGAACTGTCCAAGAGCACACACATATTTCAATTGTTTATTTTCTGAGAACCAGGGTCCTAAACATGGATGATGTTATAAATAAATATGATCAAAACTAACAGTATGGGATTATTTAATAAGGTTGAATAAGGCCAAAGTTCGTTCTTAGAAATGTCAAAATACATGCATTGTGTACACACATGCACACTATACCAGAACCAGCATATGAATGGATACACAAAATGTATAGCCACACAATGAAATATTAGTCAGCCATAAGCACCAAGAAAGGTCTGATAAATACTACCACATGAATGAGTCTGGGAAACATTATGTTGAGTGAAACAAATAAGCCACAAAGGGCAAAATTATGCCCCATGTGTGAAATAACTAAAATACACAAATGAATAGTAGCAAAAACAGTTTAGCAGTTTCCAGAAGCTGGAGAGAAGGGAAATGAGTAGTTATTGTTTACTAAGTGCTGTTTAGGGTGCTAACTGTTGGTGTACATTGGTGACAGTTGCACAATATGGTGGATGATTCGAATGTCACTTTTTACACTTAAAGATGTAAAAATGGCAAATGCTTTGTTATGTATATTTTATCACAATTTTTAAAATCCTCAGTGCCAAAAATTTTTTTAATGGGAAAGGACTTGAATAGACATTTGTTCAGAGAAAATGGAGAATACCCCTGCTGTCAGAAGACAGAGCATTCCTATGAAACCTTTCATAAGCCTTAAAGTGACTTAAAGTGAAGAAGCAATTACCATTCATTTATATGGGAAGAATTTTGGGGGGGGGGTGTTCAGATTTCATTATTTTTTTTAAATCATTTTATTGGGGGCTCATACGACGCTTATCACAATCCATACATACATCCATTCTGTCAAATACATTTCTACATTTGTTGCCATCATCATCCTCAAAATATTTTCTTTCTACTTGAACCCTTGGTATCAGCTCCTCATCCCCCCCCCTCCTGCCATGCCCCCCTTATTAATCCTTGATCATTTATAAATTATTACTATTTTGTCATATCTTACACTGTCTAATGTCTTTCACCTACTTTCCGGAGGTCCATCCCCCAGGAAGGGGGTTATATGTAGATCCTTGTGATCTATTCCCCCTTCCTACCCCACCTTCCCTCTACCCTCCCGGCATTGCCACTCTCACCACAGGTCCTGAGGGGTTGGTTCATCTCTCCTGGATTCCCTGTGTTTCCAGTTCCTATCTGTACCAGTGTACATCCTCTGGTCTAGCCAGATTTTTAAGGTAGAATTGGGATCATGATAGTAGGGGGGAGGAAGCATTAAAGAAATAGAGGAAACTTGTATGTTTCATCGGTGCTACACTGTACCCTGACTTGCTTGTCTCCTCCCCACGACCCTTCTGTAAGGGAATGTCCAGTTGCCCACAGATGGGCTTTGGGTCCCCAATCTGCACTCCCCCTCATTCACAATGATATGATTTCTTTTGTCCTTTGATGCCTGATACCTAATCCCATCGATACCGCATGATCATGCAGCTGGTGTGCTTCTTCCATGTGGACTTTGTTGCTTCTAAGCTAGCTGGCCGCTTGTTTACCTTCAAACCTTTAAGACCCCAGATGCTATATCTTTTGATAGCCAAGCACCATCAGCTTTCTTCACCACATTTGCTTATGCACCCGCTTTGTCTTCAGTGATCATGTCAGGAAGGTGAGCATCATGGAATGCCAGTTTAATAGAACGAAGTGTTCTTGCATTGAGGGAGAACTTGAGTGGAGGCACAATGTCCATCTGCTACCTTAATACTAAACCTATAAATATCTGCACGTAGAGCTATTATGGGAAGAATTTTTTAGTATTCCCCAACACAACAAATAGCATATAAAGTTATACTGAATAATCCATAGGACCCAAGAGAATAATAACATAGAGTGTTTACAGACACAGTTCAAAGCTGCTGAGTGTAGTTCCCAGGGAAGATGCCTGATAATGCCACTAGCGATGCTTGGGTTACTACACAGTGACTCTTCAATGGCTCACTGCAGAAGAAATGCTGAACCCTACTTTCGCTTTCTGCCTTTTTTCATAAATTTGGGATCTCTCCCAGTTAGTGAAAACAGGTTCTGATGTAGGTGTGTCATAAAAGTGAGGTGGCACAAAATGAACTTTCAAAAAGCAGGGGACACTTGCATACAAGTAGCCATCTAGCACACATCTAGCTCACTACCATTAGTCACTGTAGGCATGCAGATCAAAATCGCTATGAAATATCCCTTCACTCCCACTAAGATGACTAGTATCACTACAATGGAAAATAAAGTGCTGTCAAGAGTGGAGGGAAGTTGTAACCTGACACATTACTGGTGAAAGGTACTTTCACTGTAGAAAACAGTTTGGCAGTTCTCAAAAGAGTCTAAGTATAGACTTATCATACGATTCAGCATTTCTAACCCTTTACAAATTCTCAAAAGCACATACTTGTACACCTTTGTTCATTGCAGCATCAGTCACAATATCCAAAAGGTAGAGACACTCAAGCGTACATCAACAAGGGGAAGCAAAAACAAAATATGGTGTATATATAGCATATAAAGTTATACCAAATAATCCATACAGACACACACAATCTCTATACATGTAAATATACACACATGTATATATAATGGGATATTACTCAGCCATAAAAAATGAATAAAATATATATTTGATATATTTTATGGCTAGATAATACCTCATTTTATATATACACACATACATATATACATGCACATGTATGTATACGCACACAAATAATGTGTATATACATATATGTGTATATATATATAGTGGGGTAATATTCAGCCATAAAAAATGAATGAAGTATTGATATATTTTTATGGTTGACTACACCTCATTATATATGTGTATATGTATGTATATATGAAGTATCTATGTATATACAAAGTGATGATATATTATCATGTGATAATATGATAATATAAATGAACCTCAATATAATATAATATGAACCTCATAATATGAACCTCAATTCAATATAATATGAACCTCAAAAGCACTGAATGGATAAACCTTTAAAACATTATGCTAAATTGAAAATACCAGATACATTTGTATGAAATATTGTATGAAAGATATATTTGTCTGATAAACCCACAGAGACAAAAGGCACAGTGGTTCTTGCCAGAGGCTGCGGGTGGACAAAAACAGGAGTTCCTGATGAATAAGTACAGGGTCTCCTTGTAGCAATCCCATGTAACAGAGGAGAAACTGCCCTATAGGTTTTTCTTGGCTGTGATCTTTACAAAAGCAAATCCTTGTGGGATTTGATTTCATTCATTCATTCATTTATGCATGCATGCGTGCATGCAATTTCTCCTCCCTTGGAGCTGTGAGGGAGTCTTGTTTGGTTCTCGCCCATCCTCTCCTGGCTTAGTCCCTCTGGAGGTGAGCCAAGGAGGAGGAAAGAGGGCAGCAGGAATGACTTAGTTCACTGGGCACGTCCCTGCCGAGCTGAGGATCTGTCACAGGTCTGGATCGGCCTGTCTCTGGCAACATCCATCAATGATCATTCTGAGTAGATAAGAGTATGAAGCCTTTCTGGGGGACAATATAAGCCTCATCCTGAACCCCACCACTGCTGAGACTGTGCCCCCTATAGCCTACACCCTCACCTCTGAGGCGTGATATTTTCTCCCTGGGCCATTAACTCAGGGCAACCTCCGAGGATCGCCATGACAATGGTGTGGGCCCCCTTCGACCACACACTGTCTGTACGCTTTAAGATGAATAGAATAGTAAAAGGAGGTAAGGGAAATAGGACGAATATCTTCATGCAGTTTTTATGTGAATTAAGTTAGTTAAGGAAAATAACCTTTGCAGCATACTTAGACTAAGGGCTGGCACATGGTAGGTATTACAGAAATGTTGGAGAGGATCAGGGATGATAGATAACTCAAACCCTTGGAAGGGAAGGAAAGAAAAGGTCAGACTACAGAGTACAAACGTCAGCCTTTTCTAAACAACTGGTCAGCAGGCACCTGAGAACACAGTCCTTCAGCTCTGTTCAGCACCCACAGGCAAGTCTTCTGTGGTATACAAAGAAATCTCAGAAGCCCCCACAATAGGACACTGTCCTTGGGGAGCAAGCTCAGCATATCCTGTGGGATCTCTTTATGGCAGAGAACGGCACTGCACTGGATGTGGGCCATCAACCAGACATTCAGCTCTCCACAAGCAGATAAAACAGGAGAAATGTTTGTTCAGGACACAGAGCCACCCATGAATAGAAAGCATGTCCTCGAACTCCAGGCCTCTCATAGAGTCCAGCCCATCAGTAGTCTAAGTGAATGGCTTCCCACTACTGGCTATGAATCCTTCAGGTGCATCTCAAGTTTAATCTCACCGTAATATTTTTGCTTCAGACAGTGTAGACTCCCCCAACTCAACAAGGTCTTCATGTATGCTGATGTCCTTCCACCACTCCACCTGTACTGTGGTCCTCAAGTGGCACTCTGTCCTCCTTTCTTGACCAGTTAAACCCAGTGCGCTCATTACTGATGACCAATCCCTAAGAAGAAGGAGTAGGAGAATTCCCAGTCCCTTTCCTCCCTTCCGATGTGCTCACCATCATTGATCCTCCCAGCCAAGGACTCTGCACTGAAGCCAGCAAAGACAACTGTGTGGACAGCCCCAATCCTGGCACAGGCCAGCATCGCTGCCACGGCTATTGGGGACACAGGCATGTAAATGGCCACCCGGTCCCCTCGACGTACTTCATGCTTCTTCAGTGTGTTGGCCAGGCGGCATGTGGTCTCCAACAGCTCCCTGTGGCACAGGAAAGAGATGGCCATAAGAGACGGGGGAGGGATAAGGAGTAGAGTTGTTTTCTGTTTGTTTGTTTGTTTGTTTTGGCGGCGGGCACAATTCTGCAAATTGCAAAGACTGAACACTTGGCTCAGTGCCTGGGACGTGACAGGCACTCAAGTGCTTGGTGCGTGGAAAGCACTTCACCAGAAGGAAATATTTTTAACACTGGAGACCGGGTGTGACAGAGATTTACTGCCTCATTTTAAAGGCATTTAGAGGTTGACAGCAGGATTTCTCCTTATCGGCACCCATAAGCATCCAAAGGAAAGCCATCCTCTTGCTGACTTTTGAGCTCTCTCACTTCCTAAAAGGATCATTTCATGACACTTAATGGGGAATAATAAGATTCTAGTTTTGAATACCAGCTCCCACATTTGCAAGGGAGGAGAGTGAGTACAGACCCCCTCACCACAACCCAGAAACTGAATAAAGGTAGTAAAAGTGAGTAGAGAAAACCATTTTCATCAAATACGCCCTGTGATTTCCTTCTTCACTATACCACTGAATGGCCATCTGCTGTTCCAGGTACGCTCTGTGCTTCCTAGAGAAGCCCCATTCCCCATTGAAGAACGTATTCCAAAGGTGGGTCCCACTTATTAAGACTTGCAATGAATCAACCGCTCAAAAGGCTATGGCCAGGTTCAGCCAACCAATCAGAGTACCCTATGTCCCTAGGCAAGGTAATTGACTCAGAAGTTTTATGTTACTGACCTGGCCCAAGCAGAGAACCCAGCCCAATCAGAATCGCTAACACAATTCCAGGGAAGCATGGAGTAACCCCAACAAAATGGAGAAAACTAACGATGATGCTGAAGCTGATCTTA